AACGTGTAACTGCCCCTCTCTGACCCAGGCAGACATTGAGGAGGGGGAGGGGTGTCTGTATCCCACCATCTGCTCTTCACAACGCGATCTCACAACGTGTAACTGCCCCTCTCAGACTGGGGGTGACATAGAAGAATTGTGGGGGGAGCTTGTTCTCATCATCTGCCCTCCACAACGTGTAACTGCCCTTCTCAGACTGGGGGTGACATAGGAGAATTGTGGGGGGCTGTATCCCATCATCTGCCCTCCACAACGTGTAACTGCCCCTCTCAGACTGGGGGTGACATAGGAATAGTGGGGGGAGCTTGTTCTCATCATCTGCCCTCCACAACGTGTAACTGCCCCTCTCAGACTGGGGGTGACATAGGAGAATTGTGGGGGGCTGTATCCCATCATCTGCCCTCCACAACGTGTAACTGCCCCTCTCAGACTGGGGGTGATATAGGAGAATTGTGGGGGCGGTATCTCATCATCTGCCCTCCACAACGTGTAACTGCCCCTCTCCTCAGACTGGGGGTGACATAGAAGAATTGTGGGGGGGCTGTATCCCATCATCTACCCCCCATAACTTTACCCCATGATCTTCCCCCCAGAATGTATAACTGACCCTCTCAGAGTGGGGGATTTTTTTATTGCCCCTCTCAGATGTGGGGAGAAATTTGAGAATTGGAGGTTTGTACCCATAGGAGAATCCGGGGGACCTACACTTAATGTACCCCAGTAAAGTGTAACTGCCCCTCTCAGACCAGGAAAGACATTGGACAATGTTGGAGGAAGTCTAAACCTCATCATCTACCCCTATAAGTGCCCCTCTCTGACCTAGGGGGGGTATAAAAGGTGGGGGGCTGTATCATGTTATCTACACACCACCATGTATTACTGCCCCTCTCTGACCTGGGGAGATATATAAAGGGGGGGAGGGGTAGTCTGTACCCCATCATCTACCTCCCTATAACTGCTCCTTTCTGACCAGGAAAGGCATGAAATCTGGTGGGCTGCACTGCATAATTGTACCCCCATAATGTGTAACTTCCTCTCCTTGACCAGGGGAGACATGGAAGAAGGGGGGCTGTACCCCATCATCTACTCCTCATAGCGTATAACTGCCCCTCTTTGACCGGGTAAGGGAAAACCTGGGGGGGCAAGGGGCCTATGCTTTATCCATGTACACCGCCATAAGGTATAACTACCCCTCCCTCACTGGGGAAGGCATAGGAGGGGGCGCTATGTCCCATCATCTAACACCCCCTGTAATACCCCCCCCCCTTTGTCATGGG